CATTAAAAACAAACAAGCAATGAAATTTTTCCTTATAATCAAGTCTTGGCTTCATGGCATGTAAGTCATATAAAACCTATATCTATATATATAAATAAAATTGGAGTGTCTGTTTGTAATATTGAAATAACAGTTTTTTACTACATGCATATGAATATAAATACGGTACAGCAAAATATTTTTTTTTCCCCAATTTTGTGTCTGTTTCGGATAATCACTGAAATGACTGGACCGATTTTGACGGGACTTTCTTTGGCATGTAGCTGATGTACTAAGGAGTAACTTAGGCTACTTTTATTAAAAAAAATAAAGTAATATTTCACGCGGACGAAGTCGAGTGCCCGCGACTGCGTCCTAGCTAGCTAGTGTATTATATATTCGCAAATAAATCGCAAACCATTAATTTGCTTTGTTTACGATTCAGCTTTATGCCTTATCAGATAGGCAACTACTGGCCAGTGGTACATGAGTCCGCGCGTCGGCCGCGCACCACGCGCCGTGCGAAATTCTCTGTCCGAATATTCAAATATAGAATTGCGCGATTAACTTCTTAAATTAAGGAAAGTGAACGAAAAAGTTTTTATGCAAAAGTTTTGTTGATCCTGGAAAAATATTATTTGTTTATTGCTATGTAAGTTTGTGATACCTTCTGATTTTGATGACTGGATTTTTTTAATTACATTATTTGATGGTTTCCTATAAGGTGAGATTAAAAAAAAACTTATCAAATTATAATAACAACCTACCTAACCTACCATTCGTTTTTTGGTTTGATCTCAATCAACGAAGTCTTTAACAGATATGAACGGTAGAAATAGGGACTATAAGCTGTCAACAGTATATACACTCGCGAGCAACCAAATCGACTCAAGCACTACGTCTGCATGCAAACATTGTTTATTACAATAAAAGTAATTTGTTTACATAATTTAATTGTACAATTCAGAACCTAAAATTAAAAAGCCATAAAAATATAAAATAATAACTAAAATATATTATTAAAAGGAGTCCCTTTAGGTAGTAGTTCCGAAGATACTGACAGCGTTTCCTCTTTGAATTGCTAGACTAATTCTTTGTCCGAGGTAGCTGCCAGCTCATCGGTCTTCTGTGATGTCGACTAACCTTTTTAAGTGAAAGTAACATTTTAATAAAAATGATGTGTCATTTGAAAATGCTTGAAACTTCAGGTTTTATAAGATGTTTAGTTTTCTAAGTGGTCTCGAACAGCGCGGTTTTAGAGGAGCTTCCTCCCGCGTACACTTTGGTTGTGGAATGAACTTCCTGCCGAGGTTTTCTCACGAGACTACAGCATGGGGTTCTTCAAGAGTTAAGGTTTCTTAAGGGTCGCCAACGCGCACGTGACACCCCTGGTGTTTCAGGCGTCCATAGGCTACGGTAATCATTTACCATCAGATGGGCCGTATGCTTGTTTACCACCATAGTAGTATAAAAAAAAAGATATCATTATTAATGTCCCTGAATACTTTTTTTTTATTATTGATGTACTTGTAAGCGGAAAAACAATGACTATTTTATTAAAAATTAAAATAGTAATCTAATATATAAAATTCTCGTGTCACAATGTTAGTTACCGTACTCCTCCGAAACGGCTTGACCGATGTTTATGAAATTTTATATGCATATTCAATAGGTCTGAGAATCGGTTACTATCTATTTTTCATACCCCTAAGTGATAAGGGTTGTCCACCCCTAATATAATTTTTTTATTTTTGGGCAAAATTTTTTATTTATATTTTTTTATTGTGTTTTTAGAATATAGATACAACCCTAAATTTTCATCCTTCTAGCATGAACCCCAATTTTTTAAATGCGGTTTTAATTTATATGGCAATAGAACGTTTGCGGGGTCAGCTAGTTGTTGTATATTTCCCAAAAGCGAAGCGAAGAAGTCAAAACAGATATAAAAAATAATATATAGTAGAATTTATAAAAATAATGGTGGACAAGCTGCCAGCAATAATATTAATAAGTCATCATCATCATCATCATCTGCTTCATCCTTATCCCATTTATTTGGGGTCGGCGTAATATGTTTTTCGTTTCCATTCATCCCTGTTCGCAGTCATCGCGTTATTTACTTCCTTTCTTACCATATCATCTTTCACACAGTCCATCCATCTCTTTTTTGGCCTTCCTCTGCCCTTATAACCATCCACATTCATTTGTAACATCTTTCTTAAAATATTATCCTCGTTCCTACGCATTACATGTCCATACCATGATAGACGATAGATAGTTAATAAGTGACTTTTTAAATTGAAATATGAAAAAAGTAAAGTAGTAGTACTGAAAGCCAGTAATGATTGAATTTATATTACTTAACTAACTGTTCCCTCGACTTCGTTCGCCTGGAATTTAACATTAGTTGACTAAAATAAGGGATTTTTTAAAAATAAAAGTAACCTGAGTTAGTACATCAGCTACCTGCCAAAAAAAGTCCCGTCAAAATCGGTCCCGTCATTTCAGAGATTAGCCGGAACAAACAGGCCGACAGACAGACAGACAAAAATTGTAAAAAACTGTTATTTCAATATTACAAACAGACACTCCAATTTTATTTATATGTATAGATGAGAAAAAATATTATTGTGAAACTTTATTCAAAGTTAAAGAACCCAAAACAATGATCTTTAGAATTTTTGTCTGTTTGAACGCGCTAATCTCAGAAACGACTAAGATAGCTAGGATATGCTTTATTTGATTTGTAAACTAAACACATACCTATACATACATACAACACGACCGACGGCTTGACAGATTTTTGTCTGTCTGTCTGTCTGTTTGTACCGGCTAATCTCTGAAATGGCTCGACCAATTTTAACGGGACTTTTATTGGCAGGTAGCTGATGTAATAAGGAGTAACTTAGGCTACTTGTATTTTAGAAAATGAAAGTTAAATTCTACTTGGCAAATCGGAATATTTCTCGCGACCCCTCTGGGGGGCATCTCACCACTGCTATAGTGTATATAGTATAATGGTATACTCTGGCAGGGCATTAGTGGTTGATGACAAGATGACTTATTGACATTACAGTTAGTGGCAAATTCAGATATGTCGAGGTATACGATGGTTTCCAGGGCCAACCGCTTGGAGTTCAACCTGACCTGGTATATAGAATTGCAACGGGTTTATTACTGACTGGGGTTGACGACTTCGGTGGTCTAGTGGTTTAGCGGTATGTTAAACCACTAGCCTTATTTCCGATGGTCGCAGGTTCGATTCCTCGCACGGCATAAACATTTGTATTCTCATGATTATGATTGTTTGTGTCGGTCTGGGTGTTTTTTATGTATAATATGTATCTATTTACAAAAAAAAATATCTATGTATTTGTATTAGTTATCTACTACACATAACACAAGTTTAAGCTAGCTTAACTTAGGTCTAGATGGCGCTGTGTGAATTGTCCTGAGATAATCTCATGATTACGTTGTACAGTCCGGTCTACGCATTTATATTTTTTGGCTTGCCACGATCTACTGAACTGACACTCGCGATCGACCTGTTGGCCATCCCAGATCTATACTGATACATGGGTAAGGTATGAAAACGATTTTGAAAATTCTATATATTTTCTATAAAAATTAAAATTATTCTTTAATAGCAACTATCGCAACAGCGGCTTTGTGTGCTGGTGCGTTGTCTTGGTGAAACAGCACTCCAGCCTGCAGTTTGCCCTGTCTGTTTTCCTTGATGGCATCCCGCAATCTTCTTATTTGGTTTGCGTAGTAAGAGCTCGTAATAGTGGCTCCCTTTCTTAAAATATTCCACCATAATTACCGTTCAGCATCCCAAAAAACGGACGCCGACTATTGAACCGATTGAAAATTTTGATTTGCAATTTGATCCAACTTTAAAGAAAATATTGCGACTATAAATTGATATGTAAGCCACATCTCAATTTATAGTCAATATTTTTTTACCTTAGGCACAGCCACGCGTGGCCGGGATCTGCTATTCTTATATATAAAATTCTCGTGTCACAATGTTAGTAACCATACTCCTCTGAAACGACTTGACCGATGTTTATGAAATTTTATATGCATATTCAGTAGGTCTGAGAATCAGCTTACTATCTATTTTTCATACCCTAAGTGATAAGGGTTGTCCGCCCCTAATATTATTTTTTTATTTTTAGAGCAAATTTTTTTATTTTTATTTTTATTATGTGTCATTAAAAATACATACAACCGTAAATTTTCATGCTTCTATCACCAACCCCTATTTTTTTATAGCGTTATTAATTTATATGGCAAAACAACGTTTGTCGGGACAGCTAGCTATATATAAGGCTATAATTAAATTTGAATAATATATTTAAATCAAATATACCATATACAGAGGATAGGCTTCCAGGAGGGTGTCACATAGTCGTGGTCAAGTCAAGAACTTATAATTTAATTTTGATAACAATAGAAACAAGTAAAAAGTAGGTATTTTATTAATGTACCCAAGTACTGTACTTAAAAATTGTACTTACCGATCTGTTGTCTGATCTGTATCTAGGTTCTCTCCTCCAAAGTAATGGTGAATTAGATAGGACCATAAAGCACAGAATTAACGCAGGATGGATGAAATGGCGGCAGGTTACGGCAACGACTTGTGACTCGCGTGTTCCCCTTAAGCTTAAGAGAAAAATTTACAAGACCATGATCCGGCCTGCATGGGTTCAGGGCGGAGGGTCATGACCCCTATGACCCCCCATCTCGGATCCGTCGTTGATAGGCTTACGTCTCAATTTATAATCGCAATATTATTTTAGCTTAGGAACAGCAACACGTGCCGGATCTACTAATAATATATATAAATGTATAAATAAATTTGAATACACTGTATAAATTAAACATGCCATATACATACAATAGTATTACAATGAAATCAAAACAGCAGCTAGAAGGATTAATAGCAATCCTCTACCCCTCTCCCTCCTAGGATTGCCAGTAGATAAATATCACATGTACGATGTCATTGTGATCAGGTATTCCATCTCCGCGATATCCGATGGGAGCGGCCGAGGTTCCTCTCCAAGTCGTTCCTGGCCTTCGTGACGTTCAACGTGATAATTTACTCACTGCTGGCAGCTGAGGTGTTGACCACCAACATTGCTGACACGTCCGCCGAGAAGAAGGTAAGCACTAGGGTTCATTCCCGGGAAATCTCGAGTCGAGAATTCCCGGTAATGAACTGAAAATATGAAATGAAAATAAAAATCGTTGCGTTTTGTTCCCGGGAAATTAATCTCGAGAAAAGTCGAGAACTCGAGAAATCATGTACCTATATAGAAATTAAATTGCCGTTTGTTTTGTTGCGTGGTGGCGCAATAATTTAAGATATTAAGGTTTTCTTTCATGTAATTTTTTTTTGTTTTATAGAAACTATTTTTGTTTACAAGTTTTAAGTAGATTTTTTTCTAAATAACTAGCCAAAAATGGTGCTGTAAATATAAGTCTGAATAATATTAGGTCCTAACATATGAAATTGGCGTTTTGTAAGGGAGTAATTAGTACCTGAAGTAATTCTTTTTTAAATATAATATTATTAATCTTATTAATCAAAGTATGTACCATTGCTATTTATGCACTTTTGCCATCTCATAGGTAGTTCATTGATCCCTTTACTAAAAAATCATTCGGACGGGAGTCAATAAAATCTTTGAAGGCACTTTGGACTGCCCCATCGGAGTTGAATTTTTTCCCAATCAATTATCCAAATTTCGAAAAAAATGGTAATCTGTTGGAGGAAGTTCCGGAGAGTACCTACGGTGGATGTCTTAGACATTACAATTGAAGCTCTTCTAATTTGGTAACTGTGTGTTGTGCAGTGTGTGGTCTAGCGTTGTCCTGAAGCAGCAGTGGCCTACGGCGATTAACCAGCCTCGCTTGTTTAGCAGCTAGCTTTTCCATCATGATTTCTCAATTGCTGACAATACACATTTGCCGTAATCGTCTGGCCAGATTTAAGAGAGCTGAAGTGAACAACACCGGAACTAATCCACCAAACTTGTTTTAAGTCAATTTTCGCTTGGGGTAGGATTTGGTTGGTTCACTATGACATTATCATACAAGCATCGAATCATGAATATAAATATTTGCTCCACTCAATTCATGAGGGACCCACCTTTCAAGCTTTTTTCACCTTCCCAATTTGCTACAAGTGGATTAAAACAGTTTTGTCATTAACACCGCATCCTGCAACTAACTCGGACGTAGTTTGCGATACATTACCAAAATTATATTTTTTTTCTGCACAATTTTAAATGTATTTTAAGTTTTCCATTTTGTCTGTTTGTTTTCAAAAACAAATGCAGCTAAATGTTTGAAATGGCTCGGTCGATTTTGACGTTTAAAATTTTTAAATATACTCAATAAAAGTTTAATTTGATACTTTTATTTGAGAGGAAAACCGCTGAATTTTTTGACGTTTTTGGAACCAAATAATATGAGAAAACATACGTAAATGTAAATTTCTCGACAACCCGAGAAGACCCGAGAAATTAACTTAAGCACCCACGTGGTTTATGGCTACTTTTATCTATACATCTATACATATAAATAAAATTGGAGTGTCTGTTTGTAATATTGAAACAACCATTTTTTACTACATGCATATAAATATAAATACGGTACAATAAAATATTTTATACAATTTTTGTCTGCCTGTTTGTTCCGGCTAATCTTTGAAATGGCTGGGTCGATTTTGATGGGACTTTTATTGGCACGTAGCTGATGTAATAAGGAGTTACTTAGGCTACTTTTATATATAATAATATAATAATAAAGTTAAATTCAACGGCAGCGTAAACTATAAGCGCAGGCACCGTTCCATTATTTATTTATATTTCCAAGAAAAAAAAAACTAATTATTTTTTTTAATTACAGAACTTCTACCAGCACGTTTTCAACGGTTGTTACGCTGTGCTGCTCTTCATTGTCGTGATCTTCTTCCTCATATACGGAGTGGAGGTTTATTTCAAGGTACGTTCCTTTAATTATTATTCATGTGTTTTTTAAATTAGAATAGCAAAGAAGCTGATGGTATCCCTGTTGGTGAGAGGTAAAGTGACTGTCTGGTTATCCGCATCCCACTAGGGAGGTGAAGGTTGGGCATCAACTCCGGGGCCAACAACCTCCAGGTGACTAGATTAGTAGGGCGAGTATCTTAACAATATTAATGTCTAGCTGACCCCGCAAATGTTGTTTTGATAAATTAAAATCGCTATTAAATAATAGGAATTGGTCATAGAAGAGTGAACTGGTTGTATGTATTTTTTTTTATTAAAAATATTGCTAAAATATTAAAAAAAATATGTTAGTGGTGGCCAACCCTTAGAAAAATAGATAGCAACCGATTCTCAGACCTACTGAATGTGCATATAAAATTGCATATAAATCGGTCAATCCGTTTCGGAGGAGTGCGGTAACTAACATTGTGACACTAGAATTTTATATCTAAGACTAGGTTTTGCGCACGGCTTCGGTCGCATTATTTTTTTTTAGGGGTGGAATTTATCAAAATCATTTCTTAGGGGATGCCTACGTCATAGTAGCTTTATGGATGCAAAGTCTCAGCCCGATTGGTTTAAAATTGACAAAGTTTCAAACAAATTTTCATCCCCTATTTTATACCCTTGGGGGTAGAATTAATCAAAATCCTTTCTTAGCGGATGGCTACGTCATAACATCTACCTGCATGCCAAATTTCAGCACTATCCGTCCAGTGGTTTGGGCTGTGCGTTGAGAGATCACTATGTCAGTCACCTTTGAGTTATATATATTTAGATATACCACAAGAATTAACAATTTTTTAGACTGATATCCCTATCGGTATCTCGTCACCTGTTTCAATCGAAAAATCTTGTCCTAATAGCCTAATGTTTATTTATCTTAATAATATTATATACGCGAAAGTTTATGAGTATGGATGGATGTTTGTTACTCTTTCACGCAAAAACTACTGAACGGATATTGATGAAACTTTACAGTAATATAGCTTACACATCAGAATAACATATAGACTATAAATTACACGCGAGTGAAATCGCAGGCACAGCTAGTAAGATTATAAGTTCGGCGTCTTGGTTAAAATTCCTCTTTATATGGACACTAATCAATGAAAAATATTCGGAAACACGTCTGTGACATGTTCGGCCTTGTCTCACTAGCCATACACGGGGACAAAAGAACAAACACACCGGGCAATCGCAGTTATTCGACTCTATGGTCTTATGGTGTTTTTGATGGGTTTCACGCCTTTTATGGGTGTCAATAATACCGTAATTACATATTGTTCATTGTTACATATATCGCATCGCCATAAAATATGGTTGCCAATGTTCAGAGTTACTTTATTTAATAGCCTTTTGAACAAACAATTTTTCTGCTATATACAAAAAGATGTAACCACAAATATCGAAACTTTTAACAAATAAATGTAAATATTGGCATGTTTTGTCTTGCTCTTTCAAATAGAGAAAATAACTCAAGAGAAAAGGACTATATATGAAAAAACAATTTTTCTGCTATATAAACAAAAAGACATAACCTCAATATCGAAATCTCCTAGTAATACAGGTATTGACAAAAATTGTAAAAAATGTTACTTTTGGTGTATGTACCGTATTCATATGCATGTAGTAAAAAACGGTTATTTCAATATTACAAACAGACTCTTCATTTTACTTATATGTATAAATATAGATAAAGAAAAGAACTAGAACCAAAATAAGGACTATAGTAGCCACATTGGTATGCTCAGACCACGTAAAAAATGAACTTCGATCGAGTTATTAAAAATAACTCGTAATATAATCTTATATATTACTAAACAGATTTTGATCAAATTTAAATTAGAGTCCACACGAAAAGTATCAGCATTCCAATAAGAAAAGAAGCATCTAAATCCGATCTCGTCAAAGTTTAATAGACAGAAAGAAAATACAGTAGACAAAAAATATTTTAAAAAAGCTTTCTGAAGTGCATTTTAACTAGGATATTTTGTTTTTTTCTTTCAAATAAACAAAATAGTCAAAAAAGGTAGATCAATAGCTAAAAATGGTGTTCAAAAAGGATCCAACGATCAGTACAAAAGAATACACAAAATAGTTAAAAGAAGGCGACTACAGCTAAAGCTGTAAGTTGTGTTTTGCTAGTATGTAATATTTTTACACCTTGGGTTACATTATTAGAGTTTTAGTAAGGATCCCTAATTTTTTTGGAAATATAATACAGGCTGTATTATATTGTCACTCAGGGATAGTGTAGCTTCCTAATGGTGAAAGAATTTGTCAAATCGGTCCAGTAGTTTCGGAGCCTATTCAAGACAAACATACACACAAAAATACAAATCTTTCCTCTTTATAATATTAGTATAGATATAGATCAGTGGTTCCCAAATAGTTTTTGCTGCGTACCACTTCAAAAAAGATCTCACACCTCGCGTACCCCTTTTTTTTACGGATTATGATGGTATGGTGCACCCGCCTGCGCTAACAGTTTACGCTAGCGGGGCATCAGTGGAGGATGATAAGATGAACATGAGGTCAGATCAGTCAGCCCATCGTGACAAATTCACCAGGAATTTATCAAGATGGTTTCCAGGAGGAACCGTATGGAGCGTACATCTTATTGCAGCAATCACACTAATATTGAAAATGCAAAAGTTTGTGAGTGTGTGTGTATGTTTGTTTTACTGATAGCCGTATAATAATGTTAGCTTCAATACATAAAGAACACTCAGTTGACTAATTTGTTAGTTACATTTCAAATTTAAAACCATAGCGAGTCACGTGATGTTGGTGGCGTCACGATTATGCCGCCACCAATAGGAATAGAGATAAAGAGGCCGGGAACAAGGAGAGAGCAGACTGCTCTCTCTTCTCTTTGTTCGAGATAGAGATGGACAGTGGGAAAAAACCCAATAGACGGGTATTTTCATTATTTAACGTAAATATCACGATTCAAAAAAAACATTTTTTTTTTTAATTATTAGAACAAATGCAACGAAAAATAGTTACTTAGCGATGCGCACATACTTTGCGCCACAGTATATAGGGCACTAGCTGTTGCCTGTTTTTCGAAACGTCAAAATGTGTAGCCTGATAAAGGAACTAAAATAATACCAGCAGTTTATTATAACAAATTGACGTCTTCTTGTTTTATCATAAGATTTGTTCTGCGCATTATGATGGAATGTTACTTAATTGCAGAAAGAACTTCTATTGAAACTTTTAATTTAAATATCTTTGACCAAAAAAAAACAACGAGAGATACTTTATTTATTACAAAAGTAGTTAGAAGTTAAATATAAAAAACCTGAATGTTATCCCATACGGGAATTTTCCCCGGGTTTTTCCTTATTTTTCCCCATATTGGGGTTTTTTCCGGGCAAAATCCCATCTCTAGTTCGAGGCGACAGAGACGACCAGACGTGAATGTACAGCGACGCAATTTATGTGGAGTGCAATTTGAAAAAGGAATAAAATAAAAGAACTGCTGCATCGATATATCATTTCTGAAACTTCCCAATTATATTAAATACCTAAATACTGTATTTGTATCTGCTTTGGCCCATAATAAAATACCGTATGACATAATGCTAAGAAAATAGCTAAAATACACGATTTTCGCCGCACGTACCCCTTGATGCAACTTCCCGTACCCCTACGCGTACCACTAATTGGGAAACACCGGTATAAATAAATAGTATGAAACGAATCAGTAGAAATGAATTCAAAAAATAAACATTATTATCGCGAAATAAACAAAAAAATACATTCCCAATCGACAATTATGTCATCTTACAAATTGTTTAAAAGTTAACTTAAGTTATATAGCAATACTATATATGGATGTGCAGTTCTTAATATAATATCATGGTCAAGGAGAGAAGAATTAAAAATAACCTTAAATTATATATTCAAGTGTGATTTTGTTTACGCAGTACGAATATGACATAAAACAAGATCACAATATGTTTATTTTTAGCACAAGGTCATTTTCATTCAACTTTCAAAAGAGGGATTTTCATATATTATATTAGCCACTCGCCCGGCTTCGCACGGGTGTACGTACATGTATTATCTATACATATGAATAAAATTGGAGAGTCTGTTTGTAATATTGAAATAACCGTTTTTTACTACATGCATATGAATATAAATACGGTACATACACTAAAATAACATTTTTTACAATTTTTGTGTCTGTCTGTTTGTTCCGGGTAATCTCTGAAATGGCTGGACCGATTTTGACGGGACTTTTTTTGGCAGGTAGCTGATGTAATAAGGAGTAACTGGGCTACTTTTATTTTTGGAAAATTCTTTTATTTTCGAAAAATAAAGTTAAATTCCACGCGGACGAAGTCGCCAGACCAGACTACAATTTTGTTGTATGTCTGTTTTCGGTACAAGGTCATTCACATTCAACTTTCAAAAGAGGGATATTTATGTATTTAACTCAACTATTTTATTTAAACACCAATAACACCATACGTCAATTAAAAACATTATGAAAAAAGGATCTACAATATGTGCATTGTACATATCGTAGATTAATAGAAAAAAAAAACATTTTAAAAATTAAAAGCTAGTATTGTCTCCTTTTATATAAGTCAATTAAATTAAAAACGCCGTCTTAATAATTAACTAAACATCCTGATTATTTAAAAAAATTAACAGACACAACACAAATTTAAAAAGAATCATAAAAAACTCAACCTCTTTATAATATTAGTGTACATTGTTTGATTGACTGCATGGTTTCAGCTTCGCGGTGAATTCCTGAAGGAAACGAAGGTCTGCACTATAATATCACCTCGGCCCGGCCCCTCCAGTGCGGCTGAAGGAGATGACGTGCAGGATACTCTTGTCACAAAACAGGTAAGAATTATTTACTCCTAACTACTTGCCCTGGCTTCGCACGGGTGTACATGTATTATAATAATAAACCTTCCTCTTGAATCACTCTATCTATTAAAAAAAAAAACACTTTAAAATCCGTTGCGTAGGTTTAAAGATTTAAGCATACATAGGGACGGTCAGACAGCGATAGCGACTTTGTTTCATACTATGTAATGATGTAATTGCAAGCAGTCAACTATTTGCTAGTAATATTTTATGGGATGATAATGGAATAATGCACCCGCATGCGCTAACGGTATACGCTGGCGGGGCACCAGTGGAAGATGATAAGTGTGAGGTCAGGTCAGTTAGCCCATCGCAAATTGGCCAGGAATTTATCATTCTGGTTTCCAGGAGAAACCGCGTGGAGTGATCTGACATGGTACATTGCTAGCTATGGGGTTTATCCACATTAATAACAATCCCCTTGCAAGTAATACTATATATATTAGAGTTAGTTTGGATGGATGGATGGATGTTGCTCATTCATGCAAATGTACTGAACGGATTTAGATGAAACTCTACAGTAATATAGCTTATACATCAGAATAACTAGGGTTATAATTTAAAAGATATTCAGTATATTAAACAAAGTGTAATTGTTGTACTTGTTGGTTCAAGATGTAATTGTTGGTGTTATTTGTTGTTGTTGTGTAATTGAGTAACAGATTTTTGTTCGATTACATGAAGCTTTCATGTAATCGAGCAAAAATCTGAAGCTATCTTGGCATGAGCTGCATAAATCGTTGGAATTACACTGAGTTAATACATTTTAATTAATACATACATTTTAACTCTTACTATTATTTTAATTTTTATACTAGCTACCCGCCTCAGCTTTGTCTGTGTGTACACGTTTATACATGTAACCTTCTTCTTCTTCTTTCCTAAAGCGGTGGAATAAAAGGAATTAGTAACTGGCTTTCGAAATACAGTTCTATGTCAGTTATTGAAGTCGCTGGCAGAAGACAAAAAAAATAAACAATTTCATGAGTAAAACTAAATTTAATTATTAATATAATAGGTGTCTTCGGATCGATGTGTGATCCGTAAGTGAAGTTATATAAAATCAAACAAAGGAAATGGGTACTTTTGCTCCGGGAATTGAAATGCTGACTCGACGTAGGTCTTTCTCGGTAGCGCAGCATCTTGTGTTATGCTTGGTGGTCCGATCCGATCGTCGTTGAGGATGTGTCGTAATGCCTCCTAGGTATCTACTATAACTTGCCGGTAAATATCGCAATAAATGTTGATGTTAAAAAATAAAAAAAAATCACTTCAGGGCATCCAAACGGACCTGACGGACGGCGATGGAACCATCGACCCGCGCTCCGTGAACCACTCCCAGCTGCACCAGTCCAGGTTCGGACTGATCAGCCAAGCGCTGATGCTGATACTCATCGTTGGTTTCCTGGCTTCGGAGACGCTCAGCGAGTTTTGGAAGACCAAGTAAGTGTGCATACATAATGTAAAAAATGAGAAATTGTGTTTGTTTGTTTGGACATGTTTCACCACTAAACGGCTGAACGGATCTTGATGAGATTAAACGTAATAATAGTAAAACAGGATGCTACACTGTATCATCTAGTTTCAAGATGAGCAGAGCTTGTTTTATGGGTACTAGACAACTGATATGAATATAATATTTAAATACATTTTTTTGCACATTTGGATTGGACTCATCAAAAAAAGAACGAACAAGAAACTTGCGTGTTGCTCTTTTAAATTAATATTATTCTGCCTAAATACACATGTTTGTAATATTAAAATAACCGTTTTTTACTACATGCATATGAATATAAATACGGTACATACAACAAAATAACATTATTTACAATTTTTATTTAATCTCTGTAATGGCTGGACCGATTTTGACAGGACTTATTGGTAGGTAGCTGATGTAATAAGGAGTAACTTAGGCTACTTTTATTTTAGAAAAGTAAAGTAAAACTGTTTTGTTAATTTCCACGCGGACGAAGTCGCGGGTTACAGCTAGTGTGTAATATATAGTTCCGTATGTTTATAGGGTGCCGGTGGTGTCTCGTAATTGGCACGACCTGGTGTTCCGACTGGCGGAGATCGGCGTCGCGTTATGGTTTCCCTGCGTGCTTTGGAACTCGATGGCCCCGGAACGACTCTGGTTGCTGAACCCTCGACGGCTCCTAGCTCGCCAATTAGACGATGCAAAGCTCGCGGATTTACTCGCCCACCGGCACGACGCAAAGGTACGACCATAGAGTGTTTATTTAGTACGTTCTCTTAAATAGTGTCACATGTTAGATAAATTAAAGCAAAACAATTAAAGAACTGGCTTTTGTCATAGAGTGTTTATTTAGTACGTTCTCTTAAATAGTGTCACATGTTAGATAAATTAAAACAAAACAATTAAAGAACTGGCTTTTGTCATAGAGTGTTTATTTGTATGTTTTCTTAAATAGTGTCACATATTAGATAAATTAAAACAAAACAATTAAAGAGTGTCTGTTTTATTTAGTAATTTTCTTAAATAGTGTCACATGTTAGATAAATTAAAACAAAACAATTAATGAACTTTTTGTCATAGAGTATTTAGTACAAATAGCATATGAATATAAAATAGTGTCTGTATGTATATTGAAATACATACATTAAATAACATTTTTTACAATTTTTGTCTGTCTGTCTGTCAGTCTATTTGTTCCGGCTAAAATCTGAAATGGCAGGACCGATTTTGACGGGACTTTTTTGGCAGGTAGCTGATGTAATAAGGAGTAACTTAGGCTACTTTTATTTTAGAAAAATAAAATCAAATTCCACGCGGACGAAGTCGCGGGAACAGCTAGTGTTAGATAAATTAAAACAAAACAAAGAACTGGCTTTTGTCATAGAATATTTAGTAGTAATAGTAATATTTAGTACGTTCTCGCAAACAGTGTCACAGTTAAGAAAAACTAATAGGATAAATAAAAAAAAAACAAAGAACTAACTGCGGTCGGACTGTTGACAATAGTTCAGAAGCCAAGACTACCACCGCTAAACCACCGAGCTTGTCATATCGAATTTTACTGGTATTATAAACACGAAACTTTGTGAGTATGGATGGATGAATGTTTGTTACTCTTACACGCAAAAACTACTGAACATTTTGATTAAACTTGACAATAATATAGCTTATACAGGTGCATAATAACACAGGTGCTATAAATTTCGTGTGATACCGCACGCACAGCTAGTACAATTAAAATGATTTTAATATATTTCTTTTGTGACATTATTTAAGCGGAGGTTCTATATATATAGTGAAAGCTTTTCAGCTAGTGCTCATTGCGGAAAGTTGCTTGGTAACATTAACCAATAACAATTTTTGGAGTGATGTCTATATTTTTATTTTTATTCATGTTTATGCGCTAATGTTCAAGCTTTATTAATGTTGTTCATATATATATATATATATAAAGGTTGCTAATTTCCATCATGTGGGCCGTCAGTTTGTCTGTCATTTCAGTCATATTATGTTATAGCTTCAACTTAAGTTGAATTATTATATCGGTGCTTTATAAAGGTACAACGATTTTGAATGTTATCCGATGAAAGTTGGATTGTTTGCGATTCAGTGTAACGTCTTCCATATAGTATACCTCCTTAATTTGTATGGGTTGTACAGTCTTCAGCTTGTATGGCTTGTATTAAAATATTTGGATAATTTTTTAAGAATTTATACTTGAAATGTTAATACAATAAAGTTAATTATATAGGTCTGTTTTGATAAAGGATGTTATTAAAGGATTTTAAATAAAGTCTCGAGTATAATGTGTATGTACCCCGGTGATGTAGTGGTTGTACACCGCATTACTACCAGTGGTCGCGGGTTCAATTCTTCGCACGACGTAAACATTTGTATTCACGAATATGGTTGTTTGTATCGATCTCGGTGTTTTCTATATGTTTTATGTATGTATTTACAAAAAAATGTATTTAAGTATTTTTATCAGTTGTTCAGTACGAAACAGCTGAATTCACCAGGATTTAACCACGGCGAAGTACAGGGGGGATAACGTGGAGGTTGGTCTGATATAGACTATGTCGTCTAGTCTCCTGATATAGTCTATGGTAACTGTTTACCATCAGATGGGTCGTATACTTATTTGTCATTCCAATTAAATAATATTAATGTTAGTAATAATACCCCTTGACCATTCACACTACGCCACCTAGTGCCAAGGTAAACAGAGCTTGTGTTATAGGTACTAGACAACTGATATAAATAAGTAAATATTTTTTTTGTATATACATAGAAAACACTCAGACTGATACAAACAATAATACTCATTAATATAAATGTTAGTACCGTGCCAAGAATCGAACCCGCGACCATCGGAAGTAAAGCGGTCTGCGTAACCACTAGACCATCGAAGACATTTATCCCGTACACTATAAAAAAAATATTCTACTTATACACTAATTAAATCTCCAGAGCCTGGCCGAGTTCTGGCGATATAATTGGGCACAAAAGGCGTTGTACGTAGTCGGAGTGGTGCGTTACTGGCAGTGGTTGGTATACAGGTTCGTTGTAACAGTACTGAGGCCGTCTCCCAGACTAACAGACGTGGCTTATACTCCGGAATTGAGAGGTCCAGGCGCGGTGAGTGATTAGGGATCCAGGGTGTTGTCATATGGTTTAAATGGAAGGGAATAAAGAGGTGCAATGTTGTCATGTGTTTAAATGCAAGGGAATATAGAAGTGCGATGTTGTAATGTGGTTTAAATGCGAGGGAATAAAGAGGTATGGTGTTGTCATGTGGTTTAAGTGGAAGAGATTAAAGAAGTGCGGGTGTTGTAATGTGTTTAAATGCAAGGGAATATAGAAGGGCGGTGTTGTCATGTGTTTAAATGCGAGGGAATAAAGAGGTATGGTGTTGTCATGTGATTTAAGTAGAAGATAATAAAGAAGTACTGTGTTGTCATGTGTTTAAATGCAAGGGAATATAGAAGTGCGGTGTTGTCATCTGGTATAAATGCAAGGGAATAAATGGTGCAGTGTTGTAATGTGGTTTAACTGGAAGGGAAAAAGAAATGCGATGTTGTCATGTGGTTATAAATGGAAGGGAATAAATAACTGTCTAGTAGCAGTATGCGTGTTGTGTCTTTGCTTTCTTCATTTTTTTGTATACGTGAACATTTTAAGTAAGATATGGTTCAGTTATTTGTGGACGTATTGTAATATAAAACGTTGGCTTTGATCAAAATCGTCTGTGAAGATATTTATTTCTACTGGCAAGCAATTTGCTTTGTCCAGTTTGTTTTTACCAGTCGCGGTTTGGTCGAACAGTCAACACTAGGCCTCCAAGCTATATCCAAACTCTATTCAAAGCCTCATGATACCTCGATCAAAGGGAAAACATGTGTCGCAATATGGCTGTAGACTCAATAACGGTCGGAATTTGATCATTAGAGAAGGTCGTAACGGTAGTCAAGTTCCCACACTGAATATTTGTAATCTTACACAAACTAATTGTAGCTATAACATATTAACCTAGGTTTGCTTCAATAAGTCTCTTTCTAGAGATAATAATAAAACTCAGATGAAATAATAAGAAAATACAGTAAATAGTAAAATAATTACAAAAAGCTGTCTTATCGCTAAAAGCAATCTCTTACAGACAACCTAGAAGAGAGGACTTATCTTATATATAAAATTCTCGTGTCACATTTTCGTTCCCATACTCCTCCGAAACGGCTTGACCGATTCTCATGAAATTTTGTGACCGTATTAAGTAGGTCTGAGAATCGGCCATCTATTTTTCATCCCCCTAAATGTTAGGGGTAGTCCACCCCTAAATTTTTTTTTATTTTAAGGCAAAACAACGTTTGCCGGGTCAGCTAGTGTACTATATAATAGGTAGTGGCACACATAAGACACTATTTACTGTACTACTAAATATGCGTACATATATTAGAGTTAAATATAGAAACCTACATATATATATATACTACATATTGGAAGATATGAGAAAAAAAATAATCTAGGTCCTGTACAATTTTATTTATATATTTATCATATTTCTGTATTTCTTTTCCTGTGTACAATGAAGAATAAAGAACATGTCAGCTTATAAGTGATTGTTTGGATAACAGTAATTCGGTGGTTGTGTTCAAATGTATTCATGCGCTTTTTTGTACATCATTCTTTTGTTTAAGTCTACGGTTCTAGCTTCCTATGTTGATTTTGTTTATATTTTGTGTGCTCTGTGTTTTGTTACTCTACATATTCATCATCTCCCAGCGCTTATAGTTCAAAGGCATCTGCCTCAATATTTCTCATCAATAATGTTGGAATATGCAAAATTTTATTGCGCTTTGAATAATATGTCACAGTTTTCTTTATGTAATTGTCATCATGTGGCCCCTTTGGAATCATTGATGAGTTGGCATTCCAGAAGACTAGGATTTCATATCTCTTATTCTCTACCACGGTGGTTCAGCGGTCTAGCAAACCGCTTTGCGACCGATGGTCGCGTGTTCGATTCCTCGCACGGCACAAACGTTTGTATTCATGAGTATGATTGTTTGTATCGGTCTGGGTGTTTTCTATGTATAATATGTATGTATTTCTTTAAAAAAAAAATATGTAACAGTTATCTAGTACCCATGACACAAGCTTTAGCTAGCTTAACTTGGGGCTAGATGGCGCTGTGTGAATTGTCCTGAGATTGTTATTATTATTATTATTATTATTATTATATTATAATTTTACTGTCATTTTTCATCTATAAATCGAAACGTACCTTATAAATCCTTGTTACCGCAGACGACCTTTTAGTCTAAATCCAGTTAGCATATAATAACTCTGGACTATTCACACAGCGCCATCTAGTTCCAATTTAAGCAAAGCTTGTGTTATGCTAGACAACTGATAAATAACAAATAATAAATGATAAATGACATGACTAATAAATGCATAGATATTTTTTTTATCTAATAAACAATACTATGTATGTATTGTACGTAGAAATAACACACAGACAGATACAAACAATCATGCCCATTAATATAAATGTTTGCACTGTGCGAGGAATCGAACCCGCGACTGTCGGAAGTAAAGCTGTGTGCTAAACCGCTAGACCACCGCGGCCGACCATACATAGCGTACTTAATATTTAAAAAAATTACGGGATATTTCCACTATTCGTTTTACCCAAGAAGTTTTAATTATGTTACAATTTTTTTTTAAATTGCCGGAGCGACACGCAAATATTTGTGCCCTGCGAGGAATCGAACCCGTGACCATCGGAAGTAAAGCGGTCAGCTAAACCGCTAGACCACCGAGGTCGTCAAATTAATAACAAGTCATCACCTAGTTGTAATGCACACATATATTGATTGAACAGAATGTGGAGACGGACTCTCTGGTGGGGAGCGTGGGGTCCGTTCGTGACTGCTGGATCTGCTACGACACCTCCAAGCCGGAGCCGCTGATCAGACCCTGCAGGTGCACCGGAGACGTGTCCGCCGTGCACCATGAGTGTCTGCGCAGGTGGTTGGTCGAGGTACGTATTATATAGGGTTCATTCCCGGGAATTCTCGGGAAATCGTTGGCTTTTGTTCCCGGGAAATCAAGCTCGAGAAAAGTCGAGAACTCGAGAAATCAAGTACCTATATAGAAACTAAATTTCCGTTTGTTGTATTGCGTGGCGGCGCAATAATTCATGATATTAAGGTTTTCTTTCATGTATTTTTTTTTATTTTACGGAAACTATTTTTATTTACAAGTTTAAGGTAGATTTTTTCTAAATAACCAGCCAAAAATGGTGCTGTCATTATAAATAATAAGTAAAGTCTGAATAATATTAGGTCCTAACATATGAAAGTGGTGTTTTGTAAGGGAGTAACCTGAAGTATTTTTTTCCAAAATATAACATGTTTATTTAATCAAACTATGTACCATTGCTATTTATGCACTCTTGCCATCTCATAGGTACTTCATTGATCCCTTTACTGAAAAAAACATTTGAACGGGAACATTTGGACATATCAATAAAATCTTTGTACTTTGGACTGCCCCATCGGATTTGAATTTTTTCCCAATCAGTTATCCAAATTTCGAAAAAAATGGTAATCTGTTGGATCAAGATCCGGGGAGCAATTGTAAAGTCTTAGAAATTACAATTGAATCTCTTTTAATTTGGTAAATGTCAGTTGTGCAGTGTGTGTGTTCTGGCGTTGTCCTGAAGCAGCAGTAGCCTATGGCGATTGACCAGCCTCGGTTGTTTAGCAACTAGCTTTTCCATTATGGTTTCTCAATTGCTGACAACACACATCTGCTGTAATCATCTGGCCAGATTTAAGAAAGCTGAAGTGAACAACGCCGGAACTTGTTCACTAAACGCTCGCAAGTAACTTTTTTTGGGTCAATTTTCGCTTGGGGCAGGATTTGGTTGGTTTGCCAGGGTTCAGCCATTGCGATGAGCGTTTCAATTATCATACAAGATCCATATCATCACAGATAATGATTCGGTTTAAAATCCCTTTATTATTATGCCGGTTGACTAATGTAACGCAGCAGTTTACGCGCGTTTGTCGATCGAAACGCGAATTGTCTACTCAATTCATGAGGGACCCACCTTTTAAGGTTTTTCACCCTACCAATTTGCTACAAGTGGATTAATACACTAACACCGCAACCTGCAACTAACTCGGACGTGGTTTGCGATGGATCTGCTATCACAATAGCCTTCAATTCTTCATTACCAACCTTGGACTCCAGCCGCCCACGGGGATTGTTTTGCAGGTCGAAATTTCCAGAACGAAAACGTTGCAACCAAAAATGCATTGTGTTTTCGTTTACGACACCACCACCATACACATCATTAATCCTTCGAGCCGTTTCTGCAGCACTAGTGCCATGGCGGAACTCATACTCGTACTTGTAAATGACGCGATATTTTAAGTTTTCCATTTTGTAAGCTGAATGACCCAAAGAAAAAACCAAGCATATGTATTACGGTTTTCGTAAAACAAATGCATGAGTGAATAGCCGTATAAATTTGAAATTGAAATTTCTAACCAAAGAGGAGATATTTAAGATCAAAGTGGCCAGTACGAAAAAACGCTAATTTCATATGTAAGAATCTAATATATTTCAGTATTTAAAAAAAAATTTGCTTATTCATAATATGTATAATGTTTTTAAATATACCTACTCAATAAAAGTTTTATAATTAATTTTATAGTTAAATTTTATATTTAATATTTAACAAAAAATGCAATGGTTTTCGATCAAATGAAACCACTGAGTTTTTTGACGTTATTGGAAGCAAATAATATGAGAAAACGTACGTAAAAATAAATTTCTCGACAATGAGAAGATTAACCTCGAATTCGACCCGAGAAATTGAAAAGCTCGAGAAATCATGAACCCTAGTATTATATATTATTGTATATATGTATTGTATTATTTATAAGTGTTTTTTTTTAATAGAAAATGTATTTTTTAAAAGTTACTGGTTTAGTATTTAAGCGTCGTGTAAAATATAAAGGTCGAGGTATGGTTTCTAGGTGACGTCTTTTTTTGTTAATGGATAATACTGCTGGCAACGACCTTGAATGTTTTTATTGTAGGGTAAAATAAATGACTCACCAATCCTTTGCGGTATATATATGGATCGGGCTGAAATTTGGCATGCAGGTAGATGTTATGACGTAGGCATCCGCTAAGAAAGGATTTTGATTAATTCTACCCCCAAGGGGATAAAATAGGGGATGAAAGTTTATATGAAACTTTGTCAATTTTAAACCGATCGGGCTGAGACTTTGCATGTATAAAGCTACTATGACATAGGCATCCCCTAAGAAAGGATTTTGATAAATTCCAACCCTAAGGGGATAAATTAACGCGAGCGAAGCCGCGGGCAGAAGCTAGTCAATTATATATTTACTATATTGAATATTCTTGTTCACAGAGTGCTGCCAATCAAGACGGTTTGAAGTGTAAAGTTTGCAACACTCCGTACATTGTACAAGAAACTAATAGGTGAGTGAAGTGTACGCAGTCATATGTACACATTATATTGAAAAAATGGAATTTTATAGGAAAAGAGTTATGGGAATGGTAAGCGGTAACCTATATACTTGAACAGCACTAGGGAAGTTCTCATGTGATTCACGCGTGAAAAAACGTACGTGTAAGGGCTATAAAACAATGAAATTGAAATTAATACATAATTCGATACAATATACCTAAACAATGTAATAAGTAATAAGGCTAAGCAATGATGATTGTTACATCTTTTTTTTTGTATAGTAGTATTTGTATGGTGTGTTAGGGTGGAGTGGGAGCTGGGTTTCCGTGCCGGCACTGGAGGCGCCGCCCGGTTGCTTGTGCAGTGTGGTGTGGTTTTTTTTTTGTATGTGATAATGGAATGGTGCATCCGCCTGCGCTAACGGTTTACGCTGGCGGGGCACCAGTGGAGGGTGATAATATGAGCATGAGGTCAGGTCAGTTAGCCCATCGTGACAAATTCACCAGGAATTTAACACGATGGTTTCCAGGGGGAACCGCGTGGAGGTCAACCTGACATGGTACATTGCTAGTAATGGGTTCATTAGTCCACATTACTAACAATCCCATTTCCCCCCAGTGTGGTGTGGTTGGGGTCGTCGTTTTCACCAGCGACGACGGTGTCATGTGTGTGTGAAAGCGTGGTAGGGTCGGAATTATGCACAGGGCATTGGCGAGACTACTTATGTATGCGAGTAGCGGCCAGCTATTGTCACGTTTGAATGGGAAGTGGGCCCGGCATGAACGTCCGGGAGTTCATCCGTAGGGTTACGTTCCTCAGCAGTGCCATATCTATAGTAGTATGTCGGGTTGGTGTGCACCGACTTAGGTATTTTTATGTCATTTTTTTTTTATTGGGTTGTTTGGGCTATTGTCAGATGTGTAGCACCTGTAGCACTGCAACCAACATAGATCTATTGTGCTCGCCCTTATCAGAGTTCGCTACCTAGACCAGTCAGGGACAAGAATTGAAGGATATTCTTAGGAGCGATCGTTTTTATCTCCTCGGGAAAGAGTGTAAACTTTCCAAAGGAGATATTTCGTTTATGCATGAGTGGGCTACAACCACATAGGATGTGAAGTGGCGTTTCCTCTTCAGTTTGGCAGAATCTGCAGATACTTGTCGTGCATAGGCCTAGCTTAGCCATATGCTTGTTCAACTTGCAGTGTCCTGTGAGGGCCCTAGTCATCATGCATATGTTGTTTTTACTCAATAGCAGTAATCTATTGGAGTATTTGGTCGAGAAGCCCGATATTATTTTATGACATGGTCGTGTGTCAGGGTGGAGTGGGAGCGCGGGTTCACGTGCCGGCACTGGATGCGCACGGCGCTGGCGGTGGCGCTGATGTGCCTGGCGGCGGCGGGCGCGTGGGTGGTGGTGCAGATGTTCACGTCGCCCGTCGTGCGGGTCCTCGCAGCCGGCGCAGCGCTACTCATCTGCTACGTATCCGTCAGGTATACTATACTATTCTATTCATCTTTTATACTGTGAAACTCCGATATATGAGGTGGTCCATTAATCACGTGAGGCTTGTAATGGGTTCGCCAAAAATAAGGAAAAACAACCGCGTACTGAAAGTTTGAAAAACACTGGACTACATTATAAAGCGGGTTTTTAATATACCAGTAAAATTAATATATGTACAAATGGTGTTTTAAAAACGTACTGCAATAATAACTATATTATGTATGTATATAGAATAATGTAAATTAACATAACTACTGGAAGCGTCTTCTTGTAGCGCTGTCTGAATCAAGCTTTATAATTTGATATAAGTAGCGTGACCATTTGTTTTTAAACGTTGATTCATGTAGCCATTTCGTTTTTAATATTGATCTTGGTATAGGTCTCATATTCTTTTTCTTTTTATACCACGTAGGTGGCAAACAAGCATACGGCCCATCTGAAGGTAGACGGTTACGTAGCCTATTAACGCCACAAAGGGGGAGGGAGGTAAACTATACCTCCCCCCACAATTCATAATTTCATAACAATTCAATTTCGACAATTCATAATTATGATTACATTAATGTTTCCAGATTCTTGGGGATGAATACAGTGACGGCGTACCAGAGAGCCAAGGTTTCATCCCTTCAGATACTGACAGAACCCGTCTCCGAGAACCTAGAGGCGGACCACAGCCAACTGTCCACAATAAGCAAAACCGTTACCGTCGAGATCGCATCCAAAACGGTCCTCGAGCGCGCACTCAAAGGCGACGTTAACAAATAACTGGTACTGTAAACCGTTGTAACGAAATAACGTATTCAAATAGTCGTTTATGACGTGTGTTTCTGTTTTTAGTACAAAGACAATGGACCGCAATAATAATTTTGTGTTGTGATTATTTATTTAGTTGTAACGGAATGTGTTGTACGTTTAAAACGAATTTGACTAGACATTGACGCACTAACGCGTCGGTACTGTGATGTTATGGACACGATGTGCACAGAAGTCGAAGATACCGTCGGGAGTATGCCAAAATAAATAATAATTTGAATAAAATTATAGTGTACTTACGTTTGTAAAATACTCGAAAGTAAACCGTATTATAAACGTATAAAGTTTAAATTTGGTTAGGAATATAATTTTATGTTTTTGTTTACTTAAAAATGTGTACAATGGTTATTATTATTTTATTTCGTTGTACTAAGGCCGCCTTTATATCTGTAAGGCTTTTTAAGTTACTACCATACGTAATTGAAAACACATTCACAATTAATACTTACGTAAATAAATAGCTTATTGTAAATTTGTGTACAAATTTATTGTAATTGTAACAGAAATTAGGACATAAATAAAATTTATAGGTGTAAAGGCGGCCTGAAGTGTAATAAAGTGAAATTTGCCTTTTTTTGTTTTTATAGCGTCTAAGGTTTTAAGGTTTTGACATTCAATTTTGATTCTAAAACTATTAGTGGTAGAGTACTAAATAGCATCATGTAAAAGAACTCCGCTTTAGGCAAAATAATATACGATTCATTTTCATATGATTCTCGTAAAAGCTTCTTCACACGTTTGATGAATATTTAAAAAGAGAACCTAGTGTGAGGGGGCTCTTATAGGCCTCTTGAGGTGGAAATGTATCGCATAATTCTAAAAGACTGGAGCAGTGTTTCTCAAATTGTAGGTCGCTATTGCCAAGTGGGTTGTAAAGTCGTATCCGGGCCAGTAGGAAGGCGGGTGTTGAAAGAAAAAAAAATTCTTTATAGGTCTTATACTACAAAATATATTATAATTTAAAATTAAAATCACTGACTTAAATAATAGTTGAAGATCAGGTCCCTAATCCGTAGAGCTATTAAGTGTAAACTATATAATAATAATATAAACAACAAGATAAGCAGAGTTTGTGTTGTGTACTAGACAACTGATTTTTTTTATACCACACATATATACATATATAGGTGGCAAACAAGCATACGGCCATCTGATGGTAAACGGCTATCATAGCCTATAGACGCCTATACATTTTTTTGTAAATACATAATATACACAGAGAACTCCCAGACCGATACAAACAATCATTTGAATATACATGTCGGTACCGAGTACCGACGACCATCGGAAGTAAAGCGCTGTAAACCGCTACCGATCACCACCGAGCACGTCAACTAATGAGGCAGCGTACTGAAAGTTTGAAAAACACTGGACTACATTATAAAGCGGGTTTTTAATATACCAGTAAAATTAATATATGTACAAATGGTGTTTTAAAAACGTACTGCAATAATAACTGTATTATGTATGTATATAGAATAATGTAAATTTACTGGAAGCGTCTTCTTGTAGCGCAGTCTGAATCAAGCTTTATAATTTCTTATAAGTAGCGTGACCATTTGTTTTTAAACGTTGATTCATGTAGCCATTTCGTTTTTAATATTGATCTTGGTATAGGTCTCATATTCTTTTTCTTTTTATACCATGTAGGTGGCAAACAAGCATACGGCCCATCTGATGGTAAACGGCTATCTTAGCCTATTGACGCCTCAAACACCACGGGTGTTACGTGCACGTTGCCGACCCTTAAGAAACCTTAATATACCCTTCTTGAAAAACTCCATACTGTAGTCTCTCGACAAAACCTCGGCAGGTAGTTCATTCCGCTTCTTTGAAACCGCACTCTCTGTTCATTTTAAAATGTGCTTCAAAATTAACACAAGGTCAATACCAAATCAATATTTTTTACCGTTTTGAGTAAATGTGGGAATTTGGGAAGAATGTATGTAGACAAATTGAAATTACAATAAATACAAAACTATTTGAATTAATTCAGTAAGAAAAATACACCTTTCAAGTAAAGTAAGTAAAGTAAAGTAGCGCAGTGTAAGTTAAATATTTACACATAAATAATATAGCCACAAAATAATTTTATTATAACGTTTATTTATCTGTAGAAATAAAAAAAAGATAATATTTTAAAGAAGGTGTTACATATGAATGTGTATGTTTATAAGGGCAGAGGAAGGCCGAAATAGAGATGGATGGACTGTGTGAAAGATGATATGGTACGAAAGGAAGTAAATAAAGAGATGACTGTGAACAAGGATGAATGGAGGAGAAAAACATGTTACGACGATGTATCCCAAATAAATGGGATAAGGTAGAAACAGATGATGAAATAAAAAGAATGAAAACTATAGTCACACTAGACTTACCGAAGTCTGTATGCAAAAACAGGACATTATGTCTAGGGACAGTAACACAGCTGAATTAAGTTAATGAATGGTCACGTTAGTTATAGATATTCTTACATTAAAAATATTTATCTGTATTATATGTATATTAATATCCATATGAATAATAGCTTACAGCAATAAAATCGCCTTGTTGTAATAATACATATCTGAATATGATCGCGTTTGTATCAAAAGTTAAATTTTGTATCCTTTTATTCATAATAAATAAAAGTAAAAGTAAAATCTACGATGTGTTTTTAAAGATTGTATCTTAAAGATCTATTCTTTAAGATACAATCTTTTAAAACACTTACAATTAACTCTTTACAATTATCTACAAACGTATAATTAGTAAAAATTACGAGTTCTTACCACGTTTTATTTTTACTGAGTCTCCGATATTTCGGCAGTGTTTCAACAGTCATGAATCACGGGTAAACTGAAGAGCAGCGGGTAGATGGTAAATAAAATCTCTCAGTATTTTTTATTAATTATACTTATAAATAATGACAGCGTCAAATTTAAAATAGTGTATAATCTACATCTTTATTTAAACTATTAGGGGCCATTCACACATTATAGGGGAGTCGACAGTGCGATATCTAAAAATCTAATATCTATATATAACACGAAATTTGAATTTTTAACAAAATTTCGAAATATGTGATGTCTCACTAGGGGGTGGAGTGTCACAAATGTGACTAACTGTGACAACGATGGCGGGAGAGGTCAAAAATTAAGAATTTCGAGTGACGTAATTTGTGGATAGCCTCTTAATGTTTTGTCTCTTTTTTTCATTGTAGATATAGTTTGAGCGAAAGAGACAAAATACCCCAATTGCTGAAATAGGTTAATTATACAATGTGCGTTGTAGCATGGTGCGGGTGACAGTTTTATTAACGTTTCACTCTAAAAGTTGTCGCGATTTACAAATTATGACTTAGTATGTGTACCACATTCGTAATATAATCATTAATAACTGTATTCCCTTAAATATAGCAATTGTTAAATGTAAAATTAGTAACAGTCACCCGCACCATGCTACAGCGCACATAGTATCAGACGTTTTATATTTATTATGAATAAGAAGATTAATGTACATTTATAGGGTTAGTCGTAAATAATGTACTAATACCAAGATTGCAGTTGCACGTGAGGCGAAATCACTAACGTATCTTCATCAAATAACGAAAGTGGAATTACGAAATTTAATTTTGAAACATTTTTACTAATTTTACCATGTGACAGCTTAGTTTCTATGGTTTAAAAAAAAATTTTTTTTTACATTTTCTATTAGAAAAACTGTACCATTAAATAATACTGACTTTACGACTAATCTTGTATAAGCTTTTTTGACGCTACTTTACAATCATACATACCTATTATATAAACGGTATATTTACCATGATCTACCATAATTGCAGTGGACTAAGATATAATGCCACTTATCCTGTAATTTTACTTCCCAATCTGCACAGAACAACCCAAACAGCTTACAAAGCAAGTTGCTTGCCAGCAGAACTAGGTGGGGCTAAGGTGCGAGATCTTTTACATCAAAATACAGTTTTTATATCTCTAGTAAAATAATATTGTCATGATAAAAATGCCGTTTAGTATGAGTACTATTAAATTTGTATGGAAAATATAGTGCAAATTATAGTATATTCTATGTATCGATATATGATTAAAATATTAACATAAAGAGGCTGTTATATAATCTATTTTTGTTTATTTATAATAAATGCTGTATTGTAATATTTGCAATGTGGTTTCACGGAATTCTAATAAACAATTCCAAGTGCCAAAGACTCGTGTTTCGTATGGCTAATACGTATTAAAGAGGGTCCAACCATAAATTAGGTCACATTAAAAGGTGAAAGGGTGACAAAGTGTGACATAGTATAAAAGGAGATTGGAATAGGCAAAAGTATTGATAAATAATATTGTGAAAGGGATTTTAGATCTCGTTCCATTTCATTTACAGTTAAAATCTGTTCTCCAACTGTGACAAAGAAGGTTATCATTGCTAAAATTAGTGACCATAAATTTGTCATATGTTAAAAGGAGAGGGGGAGACAAAGGTTGACATAGTATAAAAAGAGATTGGAATAGGCAAAACTATCTATAAATAGGATTCTAAAAAGGATTTTAGATTTTATTGCGTTATATTTACAGTTACAAATTGATCTCCAAATGTGACAAAAGGGGGTTAAAATTACTAAAATTAATGTGACATAGTTTATGGATGGCCCCTAAAGACAATATAGTTTACGTGTAAAGTATAATTTTTTTGTTAGCAAAATTATACGTACACTAATGTATTATTATTTAATTTGAACTTTATGTATTTTTGTAGCAAATAAAACGATCGTTTACTTTGTCGGGTACTTTAAAGTGTATGGAGATGAAATGTTGTACAGAGAAATTGTAATTTCTAAACAATACGAAAAAAAACTATAAATATTTTTTTCTTTTTAACACTATTTTTATTTTTATTTCTCTCCCATACTTCTCAGTGAGCAGTTATCCCGCAATCCTCTCATACACACAAGGTAACAAAATTCACACTCTTGTTAATTGGAAATATATCTTCTTTTCCTTTATTAATACATATATTATTTAAATCAGTCGCTAGTGATTTTTGATATTGTTTTATTTTCTATTTCTTTTTTCATATCGTTTAGAAATTACATATTTAATCAATGTAATATTCTTTTTTAATTTAATATAAGCTAGCAAAGACATAAATATATCTAATAAGGCGTATGGCCATCTCTTGCCGAGGAATTTTGTAATTTGTAGTGGCTAGCTCTTAATAAGTTTTATCTTTTCTAATCTCTATCTATCTAAGGGGTCATTCGTGAATGACGTCACATGTAAAGGAGGGGGGTCCATAAAGTATAACAAGGGGACGATAGAGTCGCAAAGTTCGTGTAAAAAAATATGAAATCTCTCTAGGAGATGTCCAGCCCCCGAGAATTAGTCTTTGGAACGTCCCGTTTAAATTTTAGTATTATAATATATAAAAATACGAAATTTTAAGTATTAATATATGATTAGCTGTGACAAAGCTGAAGCAGACATTACTAAATGATGTGACGTAGTTTATGGAAGACCCCTAATTTTAGACTTTCGAAATTAATATGGAGCCGTTCAAGTATTACGTAAGCACTATTTCTTTGCTTTGCTTATTTTAGATGACATGAGGGTGGGGGAGTCTAGATGTTGATTACGTCATCGGCAGTTATTTATTTTTGTACACGAATGGCAACCCTCACATTGTCTGCTAAAACTTCAACACATTAATTGAAAAATGTTAACGTAAGCATGGTAGGAGGGGGTAAGAGCATTGCTTTCTTTTGCTGACAAGGGGATAGGGGGGGATAAATAATTGTAATAAATCTGCTTATGTAATTCTTGAACGGCCCCTATGCAGTTGAGCTCATGAAAGTATTAAAACTTATAAAAATATATATTTTCTTATCTCGTAAGTAGTGAATATTGTCTACTCTATGCTTATTGCAGATTTTAAATATTATTAGATAAATAGAATTAAATACACTGGCCATATCTAATTATAGAAAGTTTGTAGTATCCATCAGTAATTTTTTAGGCTAATGGCTCAATAGCTAGTGTTATTAAAA